AAAAAAATGAAATATTTAGGAATTACTTTTATGAAAGAAGTGAAAGACCTATACAGGGAAAATTATAATACACTGAAGGAAGAAACTAAAGATGATGTCAGAAAATGGAAAGACATCCCATGTTCATGGATAGGAAGAATAAACATTGTGAAAATGGCCATTCTCCCAAAACTGTTATACAGATTCAATGCAATCCCAATAAAAATACCATCAACATGCCTTATAGATCTACAGAAATCACTCCTAAATTTCATCTGGAACCAGAAGAGACCTAGAATATCAAAGGCAATTCTAAGCAACAAAGGCAAGGCAGGAGGCATCACAATCCCTGACTTGAAGTTATACTACAAAGCAACAGTAGTAAAATCAACATGGTACTGGAATCAAAACAGAGCAGAGGATCAACGGAATAGATTAGAAGATACGACCACAACTACAAACACACTCAACCACCTTATCTTTGATAAAGGAGCCAAGCAGGCTCACTGGAAGAACGACAGTCTTTTTAATAAATGATGTTGGATAAACGGGCTCTCCATTTGCCGAAAACTAAAACTCGACCCAAGCCTATCACCACGTACTAAATTAAAATCTAAATGGATTAAAGATCTGAATATTAAAACTGCAACAAGAAATATATTGGAAGACAAATTAGGTAGAAATCTTGAAGACATAGGGGTAGGTAGAGTATTCATGAACAGGACTCAAACTGCATGGGAAATACTTCCCAGAATCAATAACTGGGACTACCTCTTATCAAAAAGTTTCTGTAAGTCAAAAAAATCTCCAGCATAGTGAAAAGAAAACCCACAAATTGGGAAAAGATCTTAGTGAACTCCCCCTCAGACAAAGGACTTTTGTCTAAAATATATAAAGAATTAAAAACAATCAGACCCCCAAAATTTAAAGACCCAATCCAAAAATGGGCATCTGAGATGAATACACACTTCTCAGAGGAAGAAATACAAATGGCAAATAAATATATGAAAAAGTGTTCATCATCATTGGTTATTAGGGAAATGCAAATTAAAACCAGCCTGGGATTCCATCTCACTCCTGAAAGGATGTCCAGGATCACGAAAACCAATAACAACAAGTGCTGGAGAGGCTGTGGGGGAAAAGGAACTCTCCTACACTGTTGGTGGGAGTGTAGACTGGTACAACCTTTGTGGAGGCCAGTCTGGAGATTTCTCAAAAAGCTGGGATTGGAAGTCCCATTTGTTCTAGCTATTCCACTACTAGGCATCTTCCCAGAAGAACTGAAAGCATCATACCAAAGTGATATATGCGCACCTATGTTTATAGCAGCACAATTTGTAATTGCCAGATCTTGGAAACAACCCAAATGTCCATCAACCGAGGAATGGATAAAAAAGCTGTGGTACTTCTATACAATGGAGTACTACTCAGCTATAAAGAAAGATCACATTGAGGTATTTATCAACAAATGGGCGCAGCTTGAAACCATACTCATAAGTGAACTGAATCTAACTCGCATCTGTGAACTCCGAATAGTTTCCCTAGTGTAGGAAAAGGATCAAATATATAAAAGCATGTGATAACCATGATTCCCCATTATATAGCCTTGAAGCCTTATAAAATCTTCACTCATTAATTGGAATGGCTTTATTCTGGGCTGTTTGATATTATGGCCAGTGATGCAATGAACAGCTACTTTGAAGAAAATAAGACATAATAACAGCTAGTGCCGATTTAATACCATCTTGTCTTAAAGCTGCACCAAACTATGGTTCTTCTGTCTCCATTGATTTTATCATGTTGTAACTCGCTGGATTTTTTCGTATGTGGTAATAAAAACAAAAATTGTTATAGGCAAAGAGATAATATTGAAACCATTGATCATTTTTTCTGTTACCTGGTTCTAAATACTCTACAATGCTTTCATCTACTTGAATGGTGTTACACAGTCTTGATATGTTTGATGCTATAGCATATGAAGTTATATTCAAATATTTCAAAGAAAAAGACACTATGGTAACTACTATTAAGTCGGGTTATTTGGTGGTGAAGCACTAGGTTGCTGAAAGTGTCATGCTTTAACCTGTATTGTTATGTTGTTATGCCCCCTTTTATCTCATCCTCTCCCTTATTCATTAAAAAATTATTTAATTTTTTTAAAAAAAATATCAACCAATAAAAAATGCTGCTGGGTCTGTAGGGAAAAAGAAACCCTTTACAACTGTTGGTTAGAGAGTAGACTAGTACAAACACTGTGGAAATCAGTGTGGAGATTCCTCAAAAAATTAGGATTAGATGTCCCATTCAAACCAGGTATTCCCCTTCTGTGTATCTTCCCAGAAGGATTGAAAAACATCACACCACAGTGACATATGTGCAACCATAAGGTTCAAAATATACAATAGTCACGGTGAAATGGGAGGAAACTGTTCAATAAAAAGAAGAAACTAAGATAGGGGAAAAGAGAAAGGATAGAAGGGAAAAGAAAAAAATGCAAGTTAGTTATACCATTAGCATCACTTAGTTTACTGAATAGGAAAGGTTGTGCTAATATTGATTGAAGAAATTTTTATGCCCATATTTTGTACTTGAGTGACTAAAGATAATGATGTGTAATTTATCAACAATTGTTACTTTTTCATTATTTTCTTGTGAAAATTTGCTTTACCTTTTCTTCTTAATATTAACAAATAAAGTAAAAAAAAAAAGAAAGTGACAACCAATGGGTTCCCCTTTTTAAAGCTGTGAACATGCCTCCTCCTGGGGGTTAAAAATGGGAATTTCAACAATACACATGGACTTACACTTCTTAGGAGTGTCTGCGAAACTGTGGAATGTGTCTCCCTAACCAAGCCCAGTGCTGTGATGACCTGCACTTCACAGAAAAATCTGCAGATGAGGAAGAGGTGAGGGAATGACACTGGGTATGGAGAGGGCACACAGGTGTCTGATGGCCTGGAGCACACACTCAGGAAGGGGTCAGTTCAGACAGCATTGGAAAGAGAGCAGGGGGCAAGGAGAGAGATGCTTAGTAAATGAAAAGGAGACCCAGAGAGGGAGGGAGAGGGAGGAGAAGGGGAATAAAAGACTTAAAATGTGGTAAATACCTGCATCTACCTACATAGTGAATCAAAACATTATTTCACGCAAATTTGCACTAGTGAAATATTTTTGAAGACAGCAAAAAAATAAAAAAAAACTATAAAAATGAAAGCATGGGTAGTGTTTCTCTGTCTCTGTCTCTCTGTCTCTTTGTCTCTCTCTCCCTCCTCCCCATCCCTGCTGCTGTGACCCTCTTTCCCTGACCTTTTGCTGTGCTGTTTCTGTCTCCCTGTGGCCCTATAGCAGTGGAGCTGGTGACTGTGCACTGCAGTCCCTGGAACAATCAGTGGAAATGAACCTTTCCTCCTCTAAGACTCCTCAGGTGTTTCCCACACCCACAGGAAGCTCACACAACTGCCTGACAGCGCTGGAGGGAGGTCTTCCCATTTAGACCAAAGGTACTGAACAACAGCACAGGGCCAGGATGTAGCTCAGTGAAAGGTACTTGTTCAACAGCATCCCTGATGCCCTGGGTGTGGTCAGTGAGAACTCACAAACAAAATGACCACAAAACTCAGCAGCATGAAAGCCTTTCACACTGCGGGCCTCATGGTGAAGGTGAGTATATAAGGAAATACAGAATACTGCGGCTCCCTCCCTGCGGGGTGTGAATCACATTAACTCTGGGGTGGAAGTTATACATGGCACAGCTGGGGTGGAGCTCACCTATACAGCACTTGTCTACTATGTGCAGGTCCCCAAGTTTCATTCACAGTACACCAGAAATATTTAAAAGATGAAACTACATCAACTATAGATGCTGGGCATTGTGGCAGACATCTGTAATACCAGCTCTCCGGAGGCTGGTACAGGTGGATTATCCTGAATTCCTGACAACTTGGGGTACATAAGCAAATTCAAGGCCAGCCTGAGCTACACAGGGAGACTCTGCCTCAAAAATGAAACAAAACAGCTTTTAAAAAACTATAACTCTATGATATGTTAGTAGATAACTGATTTAAAGCACACCCATTAAGCAATGACACAATGTGTGGCGAGGAGTAACTGATAGACCCTTGGTATAGCCTTGAGGTGAACTCAGGAGAATAGAATGGGCAAGATAAAGAGCAGCATGTCTTCTGCAAACCTCAAAGGAACCACAAAGTACAACTCCGGCATTTCAGACAAACGCTGTAGGGATAAAAATTTTGGAAAGGGATTGGGATGTAGCTCAGTGTTGGAGCACTTTCCTAGGATGCCTCAGGCCTGAGTTCAATCCATGGCAATTAAGTTAAAGTAAAATAAAAGCACAAGCAGTAAAGCCAAAGAAGCAGTAAAAAGGAAGTTTATAGTCAGAAATTTGTATATTTCAAATAAACCAGGACTAGAAAAATGGAACTAGAAAAATGGAAAGGAAGCTCACACTCACAAGAGTTGGTTTTCAATCATATTAATACAATTGATCTCTTTCTCCCTCGAGAATCCCTGCCTCACTCCTGCTAATCACCCGAGTCTCCCTAATGCCCTGCACACTGTCCTGTGTTGTGGATGTCTCTCCTTGCTGCCCCTGACCTGCATGGAGGTTCCTCCAGTTATGGCTCAGTGCAATTCTATGTTTGTTCATCTGCAGCAGGAACATGCATCTTTCCTGGAGCTTGTCCAAGCCTGAGAGAGGACGGCCATGGAAAGGACAACAATGGTGGGCAGGAAGATAGGCTAAGAAAGAGAGGAGACCCATGAGAGGCTATGAGAGGAACAACCAGACCAGGGTGACTGGATCCAGCTCGGGAAGACTTCTGGTCTGTTGGCTGCTATGTCCTGCACATCAGTGAGATGAGGATCAGTCAGGATAAATAGAAGGAAGGGGAACCTGTACATCAGCCTGGAGCCCAGCCTGGTTCAGCCCTGGGATAAAACAGCCCGGGTGTCAGTGGATGTCAGTTCCGCTTCCTGTGGGGCTTCTGACGTGATCACCCTATCAAGGGCAGAAACCCGTGCCCAGCTACAAAACTCAGTGTGTCAGGCACTGTGGTCTCATCTATGCACACAGTCTCACCTGGACATAGGAGATACCATGACCGCCACACTCACAGCCCTGCTCTGCATTGGTGAGAACTGAGCGAGAGGACAGGAACCCCCTAGTCTGGAAGCCACAGGCAGGCCCTGGTCCGTCCAGAGAACAGGGCCTCAGGAGGCTCTGGGGAGCAGAGCCTCAGCAGGCTCCAGGGCAAACCTCTCACAAGGAACTCTCTTCCAGGGCTGAATCTGGGCACCAGAATCCAAGTGCAATCAGGTGAGTGTGTCCCCAAGTTTCCTGGTCCCTCCTCTTCCAGGGGACAAGGTGCCAGCCCTGGGCAGTGCGAATGGAGCACAGCAGGTGTGGGCTGGTGCTAGGAGGTCTGGAGGGTCCTGGAGCTGAGAGCAGGAATGTGAGGGCAGGAAGAATGTCCTGGGACCTAACTGTAATTTCCGTGTAGGGACACTCCCCAAGCCCATGCTTGGGTCTAGGTCAGGATCTGTGATACCACAAGGGAAACCTGTTACCCTCTGGTGTGAGTGGACGCTGGGGGCCCAGGAATGTGGTCTGTATAAAAAGGGAAGCCAGGAGCCCTGGATAAAAAACACGTCACTGGAACTCAAGAACTCGGCCCTGTTCTTCATCTCATCCATGACCCAGCAACATGCAGGGCTACATCGCTGTTACTACCGAGTCCCTTCGGGTTTGTCAGAGGGCAGTGAGCCTCTGGAGCTGGTGGTGACAGGTGAGAGGACACTCAGGGGCCCAGACCCATCCTCTGCTCTCAGGAAGGGGTCTGTGCTCAAGGGTGTCTCCCTCTCACAGCTCAGCCCTGGGGACAGTGTGGAATGTGTGAGTCCATTTCACGCGCTGCCTCCTTCTCTCTTAGGAATCTACAGCAAGCCCAGCCTCTCAGCCCTGCCCAGCCTTGTGGTGAACCCAGGAGGGTCTGTGACCCTGCAATGTGGCTCGCAGCTGGGATTTGACAGGTTCATTCTGACTAAGGAAGGAGGAGATAAGCACTCCTGGACCCAGGACTCACAAAAAGACTCTAGTGGGCAATTCCAGGCTCTGTTCCCTGTGGACCCTGTGACCCCCAGCCACAGGTGGAGCTTCAGATGTTATGGCTGTTACTGGAATCAGCCCCAGGTATGGTCAGAGCCCAGTGACCCCCTGGAGCTCCATATCTCAGGTGAGGAAACCCCAGCTTTTTCCAACTGACCTCACCCAGCTACCTGGAAAATGCTTAGTGATGAAATGGGTGAGGGACCTAGGGATGCTGAACTCAGTAAGAGTGTGGGGGCAGTGAGCCCAGAGCTATTGGAATCAGGATGAGACAGGGAAAGTACAAGTCACAGGGTCTAGAGCGAGCTCTGTCTGTAGGCAGCTCCTCTGGTGTCTTCTGCTCTTGCAGATTGGTCTTAATGCCTTCTCCATGCAGGGCTCACTGTGCACAGTCAGAACACATGAACCGCTCTTGCCTTCTTCCTCGCAGGGTCTCTCCCAAAACCCAAGCTCCAGGCTCAGCCAGGCTCTGTGATACCATGGAGGAGTCCTGTGACCCTCTGGTGTGAAGGGACCCTGGAGGCCCAACAATACTATGTGTTCAGAGAGGGCAGCCCAGCATTCTCAGAAACAAAGATGTCTCCTGGGCCCAGGAACAAGGCCATGTTCTTCATCCCATCCATGAAAGAAGATGATGCAGGGAGATATCACTGCTACTATCACAGTACTGAAGGCTGGTCAGAGCTCAGTGATGCCCTGGAGCTGGTGGTGACGGGTAAGAGGACACTCAGGGTCCCAGCCCTCAGGAAAGGGTCTGCTCACATAGGTGTCCGCCTCTCACAGCTCATCCCTGGGAACAGTGTGGGAGTTATGAGTCCATTTCACATGCTGCCTCATTCTCTCCTAGGAGTCTACAGCAGACCCAGTCTCTCAGCCCTGTTTGGCCCTGTGGTGACCTCAGGAGGGAACATGACCCTGAAGTGTGTCTCATGGCAGCAATTTGACAGGTTCATTCTGACTAAGGAAGGAGGAGACAAGCTGTCCTGGACCCTGAACTCACAGCGAGGCCCCAGTGGGCAGGTCCATGCCCTGTTCACTGTGAGTCCTGTTATCCCCAGGCAGAGGTGGATGTTCAGATGCTATGGCTGTTATAATACGAACATCCAGGTGTGGTCAAAGCCCAGTGATGTCATGGAGCCTCTGGTGTCAGGTGAGGAAGTCCTTTCTTTACCAAATTGTGTTTGAGTCCCTAAATAATTGACAGAATGTCTACTACAGAGAATCCCTAGAAGACAACTGGGATCAGGACATCTACAGAGCTAGAAACCTCAGTATGACAGTCAGGGTGACCCACAATGCAGGGCAGGAGGGCAGAAATGTGGCAGGAAGCTGCCCTTCAGTCCAGCCTCCCTCGAGGGATTTCCAGGAAACCTTCCCTCCTGAACAAAATGGGTCCTTTCCTTGCCTCTGGACATAATCTTATCCTCCAACGTCACTCTGACTTCAGCTAGGACAGACTCACTCTGTTTAAGGATGGGGTAGGTGACCTCCCACAGTGCCCTCTCTGGTGCCCCAGGTTGGACTCTCTCATGCTGACTTGCCCTTGGGCTCTGGGAGTGGCTCCCACATGGGCCACTCAGATGCTATGGTGGACACAGCCTCTCCTCTGAGTGGTCTGTCCCCAGTGAGCCCCTGGACATCCTAATCACAGCGGAAAAGCTCAGGGCTCAGTCAGGGACCCAGACTTTGCACAGTCCCTGCTGGGAAGCCCAGGAGGTGATGGTCAGGGTGAGGCTGGGAAGCCCATGAGGTGATGGTCAGGGAGAGAGAAAGAAGGGAGAAGGGAAAAAGAGAAAGGGAGGGAGAGAGAAAAAGAGACAGGGGAAGGCAGACGGGGAAGATTCAGAGGAAACAGAGACAGACAGCATGGGAGAGTCCTCAGAGACAGCCCTGCTGAGACCCCCAGCTCTAAACAAGCTGGAACAGCCCCCTACCACCTCCTCTCCAGGACAGCTCTGTGCCACACCCTCCCTCTCAGTGTAGCTGGGACTCACCGTGTCCTTAGGAGAAGATGTGACCCTGCTGTGTCAGTCATGGATCCTGATGGGTACTTTCCTTCTGTCCAAGAAAGGAGAAGCCAATCCCCACCTGCGTTTGAGATCAGAGTCCTGAACTCAGCAGTCCTGGGCAGAATTCTCCATGGGAGTTGCAAGCTCAGCCCTTGGGGGGACCTATAGGTGCTATTGCTCTCAGAACTCAGCTTCATATCTGTTGTCACATCCCAGCAAACAGCTGGAACTCATGGTCTCAGGTGTGCTGCATGTGATCTGATCATGGCTGAGCTCAGCGTCCCTTCAAGGGTCTCTCAGCACAGCCCTGGACTGGTTTGGTGTGAAGGACTCTGAGAGAAGCAGACAGAGGTGGACTTTTCTGAGGCATGTCACTGCCTCCTATTTCCTATCTAGAATGCGCCCTGTGCCCAGAAGCTGGTATGGGGAGGCCACAGCACAGGCAGAGGAGAGGGCAGAGGTCCATCCTGGGGCAGCACTACTCTAAAAGCCCTGGAGTACTCATCCCCAGGATAAGCCCTGTCACCACCCTAAGCTCCCTGCTCCACAGCAGGCATCTCGTGGTCTGTTGCAGTGTCCTGTGTCTAGGCTGCCTGGTGATGCTCAGCCCATCTCAGGTTCCAGTCTGGGCTCCACTGCTGTCCAGGAGAAGAAAAGAGGGACAGGATCCCCAATGCCCAAAGGCTCAGAATTGGGGCTGCATTGGGTGGTTTCAAAGCTGATGGAGACAGTGAAGTCCAGCCTGGAAAAGGAGGGTCAGCTGAAGTGGGAAGCAGGGAGCCCAGGACCTCATCTCCCCATTCTTCCTAGGAGGCCCTGAGGATCAGCCCCTCACCTTCACGGAGCCAGGATCCCAGGATGGTGAGTGAGGGCACTGCTGGGAGGAGTTCAGGGCAGCAGCTGAGCTGAGGGGCTCCTGAAGCCTCTGGAGAAGCTGACTTGGAATAGCCCCTCCTGTGTGGGCCTCAGTTTCCTCAGGTGTAGAGGAGAACCGTAGCTAAGACCTTCAGGTTAATTTTTCTGCTGATCTTGCTGTGATCTCATGGGAGGTGGCCTCTCATGGGAGCCTCCAGAACCTCACACTGCTGTGGTCCTGTACTTCTGCACAGTGACAGTTACAATGTGCATGGGAGGGTGCAGGGTCAGAGCAGGGTGTTCAGGCTCCTTCCCTCCAGACCAGGAGGCTCAGCTTTGGTACAAAGAGCAGGGTGGAAGTCCAGTTTCCATCTGGGTCTCTTGCTGGTTTCCCTAGACTGGCAATTCCCCTCTCTCAGCCTCTGTTTCCTCCTTAGTAACCTGCAAGAGGGGGTTGATGATCCCAAGTGCAGCACTGTGAGAGTGTGTGGGGGAAGGCAAAGGCCCAGCATGGGCTGGCACACACCAGGTGCTCAGTGAAGTGGCACTTTTCCTCTTTCAAGACAGCACCCCCAGCCCAAGCCTGCAAGGGAACCTGGAGGTTGTGATCGGGGTCTCTGTGGTATCCTCCCTGCTGCTGTTGCTAATCCTCCTCCTCTTTGTATACTGGTGCCAGGAAAGAAGCTGGAAGGCAGGTGAGCAGGGAGGGTGAGACCTGGGCCTTAGGAAACTGTGGGTGTTGTGGTCCCCAGGGAAACCAGTCCAAATGGTCACGTCTACATAGAGTCCCCTGTGCAGAACCTCAGTGCAGAGAATCCAGCACAGAACACAGGAGCCCATCCCTGTGGGAGTCTCTGGTGTGGTCTGAGCTTTTTCATCTCAGACTGCATGACTCACTGGTCCATGTGGTCCAAGGCTTCCTTCATGCTCTGTGTGGCCTGCAGACCAGGTGGTTCTGACCTCCTGACCAAGACTATCTCCCAGCCCAGAGAGAGGCTTACTTCCCAGGTCCTACAGGGTCAGCACCCTGTGACAGAAGCCTGAAAAAAGGTCATTTCTTCCCTATGACTCCGACTCCCCTGCCTGCCACCCTCAGGACCCCCTGATATCCCCATGTCTCTCCAGCTCCAACCCAGGTGCTCCCATGCAAGAGGAAAACCTCTGTGAGAAGAAGAGGGGTGTGTGGGGGGGGTGGGGAGATGCCCTAAGGTCCCAGCATCCCAGGGGTAGGGGAGGCTGTGGCTCAGGGCTGAGTCAGACTGAACCCTAACACAGTGGGCCAGGGTATGTCACACAGCTGCCTGGCTCTGTGTCCCTAACTGTACAGGGAAGGATCTGGGGGGCTGAGAGACCCCAGAACTCTGGTGAGGAGGCAATCTCTCTTCTGTCCCTAAAGATAGCACCAAGAAGAATACAGAGCCTGAGGACAGGATGGAGCTGGACACTCAGGTGAGACTCCACCCCATCCAGGGCACAGGGACTTCCTGTCTCCCAGTTTGGTCCAGAGACCCTGCTCTGTCCTCCATCACTCAGGTCCCAGAGACCTCACAGCATATCCCTCCCCTCTGGAGGCCCTGCCCTGCTGGGACCCCATCCTCTGCTGGTTTTCTGACCTCAGGGTCCCCTCCCTCTGTCTCCTTCTTGGTCCTCAGCCTCTGTCTGGCTGTTCCCTGCTCGATGGTCTCAGCACAACCCTGAGTGAATGAGCAGCCATATATACCTAAGGCCCCTTTCTCATTCATGCAGCATTACAGGGGTTTCCTCCTGACCTGTCTCCATAGGGGCTGCATATACATCAGTGAACACAGCCTTCTCCTGCCCTGAGTCACCTTGAGGTAGGAGGCCAATGTCAGGAGAGCACAGAGCTGTGAAAGAAAATAAAGCAGAGAAAGGGGCTGAGGGCAGGAGGGCCAATGAGACTCACAGAGAGAACACTGGTAAGATAATCACTGAGCTGAAGCCTGCATGGAAAGGGCCACTGACACCTCCAATGCACCAGCACTGTAGGCAGAGGATACGGCAAGTGCAAACATCTTGAGGCAGAGACAGGCTCTTTCAGAAAGATGGGCCATATGGCTTGAGCCCATGGAGCATGGCCCAAGTGTCAGCATGGAATTGCAGCACTGTGGGAATGAAGTGGCCCAATCCTCTGAGTCTTGGGAAGCCCCCAGAAGTCCTTGAGGAAGGGAGAGAATGTGGTAGAATTTCTAAAGGATTCCTGTGGCCACCATGTGGGAACCTGGCTGGAGGAGGCCATTGTGGAACCCAAAGGACTCCTCTTCTGTCTATGTCTCCTTGCTATAGAGTTCATCTAACGAGAACCCCCAGAGAGTGACATACGCCCAGGTGAAGCACTCAGCACCTAGGAAGATCAGGACCTCCTGTCCATCAGCTCTGTCAGGGCAGCTCCTGGACACCAAGCTTGGACAAGCAGAGGAGGACAGGCTGATGGACACTCAGGTGGGTCCTACTCTTTCCAGACTCAGGCTTCACAGGCACCAAGCATAAACACTTCCTCTGCCCATCTCCCCTGCAGGCCTCTGCCCACAAGGGTCCTCAGGATGTGATCTATGCCCAACTGTGCAGCTGGACACTCAGAGAGGGGACAGCTGCACCTCCTTCTTCCCAGGACAGGGCTCTTCCAGCAGGATCCAGTGTGTATACTTCCCTGATGCCCACTCGCCCAGGAGCCATCCCAGAGGACACCACACAGAGACCTCCAGAGATTCTGGGGCCATTTGAGACTCACCTGACATCTCTCTGTGTTGGAAATAAAACCAGAGATTCTTAAATAATCGCTGAGTGAAAGAGAAATGAAACCATGCGAGAGGATGTGTGATATGAGTGATAATGTTAAAGACAGCGTAACCCCACACAGATAGAAAATGGGAGGATTAAGAACCATGAATGAATACACTGGAAGACAGTCTATAAAAATCCCTGAATCCCAATATCATATCAAAAACTTAGGAAAGTATATGAAATAACTCTAAATAGGGTCAATTTACTACTAGTTACTAATGATGACTTAAAACACATTTCAACATTATTAAATAGTGGACATTAAGACAGATCCACATTTGTTTTATAGACATAACAGCAGGGTATTATAGATAATTTTATGCCAACCTGTCACAAGATATAGATGGAATGGAAAAAATTCCACAGACACAATATACTAAGTGGACATAACAATAATCAGAAAATGTGTCATCTCACAGGTGTTGAGTATATTGATCCTGTGATTAAAACATTTCTCCATGCAAACTCTAGTTCAATAATCTTTACTGGTGATTTCTGTCACATTCAAGAAAAATGTCAAATCCCAAACTTCCACAGACATTTCTTGTAAAGAGAACAGAAAAAAGACAGCTCAAGATATTTTATGAGACAAGAAAAGTTATAGCAAAACTTGATGAGGAAACTACAAAATGGGAAAGACACCTGCAGAGCTTTCACATCAGCCTTGATTTGAGCCCCACAAATAGCCCTTCAGTGAGCCATGGTGGGCCTCGCCCATCAGCCCAGCCACCCGGGGGCCTGAGACTGGAGGGTCCAAAGCTTGAGTTCAGCCTGGGCAACTCAGTGAGACCCTGTCAGAAAATAAATCAGGAAGGGCTCGGGATGTAACTTAGTGATCTCTGACTTTAGTAAAGACACCCCTCAAAAAAAAGTTTCAGTGATATGTGTAAAAGATATTACATGATGATGATAGCAGTGGATTTTTTTTTGTTTTTAGTTTGAAAGGCAAGAGTAGCTTAAAATTTATAACTGCATAAACATAATGGGACACAGTCACACTGTTTATGAAAGCTATCATGTCACTAGGTGCAGAGAAGCCTTTCATAAATTATCCACAGTAAAAGTAAAAATCCATCACATGAAAGGAGAATTTCCCATCATTTCCAGAGTGTTTAACCCCTCCTCTCCTCTTCCAAGTGAGCCCCTGAAGTCCTCCCCTCAGGTTGGAGCAGCCCACTGTGCTCCCTGCTTTGTTGGTTTCTCTTCAGCACTGTTTGTTTTTGATAAACACAGACAGATATGGAGGGAGAAGCAGAGGGCAGTACAGTAATAATGCACATCTCAGTCACTCTCATTCTGGGGACTCATTCTATGACACCAGCAAGTTCTGTGAGGAGAGGTGCAGTGAGGCTCACGTTTTGGAGGTTCAGTCCATATTTGGCAGCTCAGACACAAACATCCCTGGCTGGAAGGGACTGGGCCTGGGGAGCTGCTAACATCAACGAGTCAGAGAGGGAGAAGGAAAAGGGAGGAACAGGGGAGGAAACTAAGGTACTCCAGACTACTCCACAGTGTCCTGCCTCTCCTGAACTGGCCCCCCTTCTAGCCTCAAGTCAGTTGTAGCACCCCATGATTCACTCAGGTTCCAAAAGCCCCACCTATGAGTGCATGGGGCTCTTTGGGGACATTTAGATATAAACTATAACAGAAGAGGCTCTCATGTCCCGCTTTTTAAAAAAATTTTATTTAAAAGGAAAAAGAGAAAAAAACAAAACAAAACAGTGTAAGGGTATAAGTAATACAGAACTACAAAAAATAGTAAGAAATCACCAGTTAATAGATTGCACATTATCATGTTAGAGATAGTTGCTCAAGTCACAGGATCGAAGCACACAAAGTGGACATTCAAACAGTGAGACTGCAAAGAGTTGTGTTCAATGATCCAACCAAAAACATTAATATGGTCATCTATTTAACACCGCTAAACAGTTGTATCTTTTAGAGCACTTTTTTTCTCTCTTTTTTACAACAAAATTTACACATATTGGGTTTTATTACTCCCATAGTTCTTATTAGATTTTTTTTGGAAGAGAATAAAGTCAAATATGACAAAACAAAGCTGTCAGTCAAAACCAAGGATAGACATAGCACATGATGTAAAAACAGAGTACAAGGTTATCAACACTGGTTACCATAATGCCTCTTGCTTCCTTAAAAAAGAATTGTCTATCTCATTAGGTATTATAAAGTTGAACAAAACAGTAGAGAACAAGACCAATAAAACCTAAACATTGTAAACATTACAGGACTTCAAAAGAAGATAATAGTCAAACCAGAATGGACATCATACTGAATCTTATTGCCTTCAAAGTAGTTGTCTATGCCTTCAAACTTGACATTATCATACAGAATAGAACAGAGTCTAATCAGTCAAAATAAGATAGTGGGAGTATAAAGGACTACAAATCATGTTAATAGGAAATCAAAAAAGTTACTATACTATATCCTGCTAATTTTTTTGATTTTTCCCCTTAATTAAAAAAAATCATAAAAAATAACTAAATAATTTTTTAATGAATAAGGGAGAGATTGAGATAAAAGAGAACATAACAACATAACAATGCAGGTCAAAACATGAGTTTCAGCAACCTAGTGCTTCATCACCAAATAACCCGACTTAATAGTAGTTATCATAGTGTCTTTTTCCTTGAAATGTTTGAATATAACTTCATATACTATAGCATCAAACATATCAAGACATTGTAAAACCATTCAAGTGGATGAAAGCATTGTAGGGTATTTAGAACCAGAACAGAAAACGAACAATGACTTCTATATTATCTCTTTGCCTATAACAATTTTGTATATACTATCACATATAATAAAATCCAGCAAGATACAACATGATAAAACCAATGGAGACAGAAGAGCCATAGTTTGATGGGGCTTCAAAACAAGACGATATTAAATCAGCACTAGCTATGATGATGACTTGTTTTCTTCAAAATAGCTGTTTATTTCATCACAGGCAATAATATCAAGCAGCCCACAATAAAGCCATTCCAATTAATAAGTGACAACTTTATAAGGCTTCAAGGCCACATAATGGGAAATCATGATTACAACATACTTTTATATATTTGAATCATTTCTTATATGAGGGAAAATATTCAGTATTCACATATGTGAGATTGATTTATTTCACTTATGAGGATGGTCTCAAGCTGCACTCATTTATTGATAAATATCTCAATGTTATCCTTCTTTATAGCTGAGTAGTATTGCATTGTATAGAAATGCCACAACTTTTTATCCATTCCTCAGTTGATAGACACTTAGGTTGTTTTCAAGATCTGGCAATTACAAATTGTGCTGCTATAAACATAGGTGCGCATATATCACTGTGGTATGATGATTTCAGTTCTTCTGGGAAGATGCCTAGAAGTGGAATAGCTGGAACAAATGGGACTTCCAATCCTAGCTATTTGAGAAATCTCCAGACTGACCTCCACAAAGGTTGTACCAGTCTATACTCCCACCAACAGTGTAGGAGAGTTCCTTTTTCCCCATAGCCTCTCCAGCATTTGTAGTTGTTGGTTTTCTTGATCCTGGCCATTCTTTCAGGAGTGACATGGTATCTCAGTGTGGTTTTAATTTGGGTTTCTCTAATGATCAATGATGATGAAGATTTTTTCATGTATTTATTTGCCATTTGTATTTCTTCATCTGAGAAGTATGTATTCATCTCATGCCCATTTTTGGATTGGATCTTTGAATTTTGGGGGTCTGATTTTTTAAAATTCTTTATATGTTTTAGACAAAAGTCCCTTGTCTGAGGGGGAGTTCACTAAAATCCTTTCCCAATTTGTGGGTTTTCTTTTCACTATGCTGGAGATTTCTTTTGACATGCAGAAACTTTTTAATAAGAGGTGGTCTCAGTTATTGATTCTGGGAAGTATTTCCCATACAGTTTGAGTCCTGTTCATGAATTCTCTACCTATCCCTATGTCTTCAAGGTTTCTACCCAATTTTTCTTTCAACAGATTTAGTGTTTCTGTTTTAATATTCAGATCTTTGATCCATTTAGATTTTAATTTAGTACATGGTGATAGGCATGGGTCTAGTTTTAGTTTTCGGCAAATGGAGAGCCAGTGTTTCCAACACCATTTATTAAAGAGACTGTCATTCTTCCAGTGAACCTGCTTGGCTCCTTTATCAAAGATAAGGTGGTTGAGTGTGTTTGTAGTTGTGGTTGTATCTTCTAATCGATTCCATTGATCTTTGGCTGTGGTTTGATTCCAGTACCATGTTGATTTTACTACTGTTGCTTTGTATAACTTCAAGTCAGGGATTGTGATGCCTCCTGCCTTGTCTTTGCTGCTTAGAATTGCCTTTGCTATTCCAGATCTGTTCTGGTTCCAGATGAATTTTAGGAGTGATTTCTGTAGATCTATAAGGTATGTTGATGGTATTTTTATTGGGATTGTATTGAATCTGCATAACAGTTTTGGGAGAATGGCCATTTTCACAATGTTTGTTCTTCCTATCCATGAGCAAGGGATGTCTTTCCATTTTCTGCGATCCGCTTCAATTTCTTTTTTCAGTGTATTATAATTTTCCCTGTATAGGTCTTTCACTTCTTTCATAAGAGTAATTCCTAAATATTTCATTTTTTTGCTTGCTAATGTGAAGAGTGTGGCTTCCCTTATTTTTTCCCTCTGTGATTTTGTTGTTAGTGTATAGGAATGCTATTGATTTCTGAGTATTGATTTTGTATCCACCTACATTACTGAATTTATTTATTATATGTAAGAGTCTTTCAATGGAATTTAGGAGGTCTTCTATGTAGAGTATCACGTCATATGAAAACAATGATAATTTAACTTCTTCTTTTCCTGTCTTTACCCCTTTTATTTCTCTCTCTTGTCTAATTGCTCTGGCTAGTACTTCCAGTGCTATATTAAATAGGAGTGGTGATAAAGGACAATCTTGTTAGTGACTGATTTTAAAGTAAAGGCTTTCAATTTTTGGCCATTTAGTGTGATACTGGTTG